CATTATAGTGTGTGGGGCCCGCCCCCGCCCACATCGTCCCCCCCCCGGTGTGTTGGGGCCAGGGGGTATTTTTGGGGGGGGGAAGTCCCACTCATCTTAAAGTGGCCAAGTTTGGACAACACTGGTTTAGAGAGTGAAGGGAGTTGGTGTAAATTACTATGTTTCTCACCTCATCCCTTGAATTTCTTGGCGTACATTTTTCTTTGCTCTGCATGATGTTGTTGCCCTGAAAGGAAATGCCATGGAGACAACGCGTCTAAGTATGCATTCTGTATACCAGGGTTCCTCAGCCTTGGTGATTTGAAGATGCGTGGACTTCAACTCCCAGAATTCCCCAGCCAGCCATGGAACCCTGCTGTATACTGCTGTTCATTAGCACTTGATGTAGCCTTAAAATGTTTTTCTCCTCCTTTGCAGTCCTATTACCTGTGCACTGTTCCAGCTTTGGGGTGGCAGAGGTGATATAGGCTGTGATTACTAGAGTTCTCTTTGCTTTTTTAAAAAGGAGTTAATACAAGAATATTAGTGTCATAGTAAGGAATGTTCAGGCCGGAAGCATGTGACTCACTGGAGCTGCCATAGTTCAGCAATCCTTAGAGGTTCATAGATGCTTCGTTTTGCTTTGAAATAACCAGTAAAAGAGGGGATGAAGCTCCCATAGTGTTTTCTATCTGTACATCTACTTGCTTCCCTTCACTTATAGTAGAATCAGCACTAGAAGCTCTGCCACTTGAAGGTCTGCCATTAGACTCTGCCATTGTGAGGAATTGGATTTAATCATTGGTGTTATTCCAGTAACTCAAAGCAAACTGTTTGTAGAAGTGTCAAATCCCTTACTTCTAGGGTTCCCAACCTTTTCTTTTATGTGTACAATTACATCATCACTGCAAGTATTGAGGACCACCATCTAAACCAGAGATTGGCAAAGCAATGCTTGCAGGTACCTTGGTGTATGTTATCCTCCCCCGCACACATACTAACGGTAGTTGCAGTATCCCAACATTTAATAATTAATTTCATTTAATTATTTTGGGCCTGCATCTTTCAAGAAGACATTTCTAGATTGGTCTTTAAGATATAGGTTGAGCAACAGTCAAAGAAGTTAAGGAGCAATTGTATATGTTAGGAATTTAATGCCGCTTCTATATGTCATTCCCATGTATGAAGAATCTCTTCTTGGTTAAGTGCTACTAAGTTTGGCAAACATCTTCTTTATAGGAAAGTGGCTTTCTGCATGAATACATATATCTCTAATAGTGGCTATAAACTCTATGGAGGGCAGGATAACATATCTTTGGTTGTAGAATCTACAACAGAGGCTCTTGAGTATAAATCTGATCAGTGGAGCCAATACAGGTAGTCCTTGCTTAATGACCACAATTGGGACCAGCAACTCCATCACTAAGCAATATCATCATTAAGTGAGAGATTACATGACTGCAACGAATTTATGACCTCACTTCCACTGCGGTTGTTAAGTAAATCACCTGCAGTTGTTAAGTGTGATGTCATGTGACCATGACTTGTGATTTTACTACCAGCTTCTCAATTGACATTGCTTATTGGAAGCTGGCTGTGAAGTGTGCAAATGGTGATTGTGTGTGCAAAGAATGCTGCAATGGTCATAAATGCCTGCAGGAGGCGAAGCACCCGAATCTCAATCAGATGACCACGGGGACAATGTGATGGTCGTAAGTGCGAGGACTGGTCATAAAGTTACTTTTTCAGTCCCATCGTAACTTCGAACAGTTGCTAAAAAGGGCAGTCATTAAGCAAGGACTACCTGTACTATTTATGATGGTTCATTGGAAGCAATGTTTGTGAAAGCAAGTGAAACTGTTTATGTCCTATCTTTAGAGTCTGAAAGGGTTTTTTGTTTGTCAGATTGCCTTTTGATTATGACAGCTAGGTTGTTAAATTTGGAATGGATTGGGATGTCCAGATTGAAAGACCAGTGATACTGTTTTTTTTTTTAAATCAGGACTGATGGCAATCTACAGAGGAAGAGTGGGATGTAACAATGATCTGGTGACTGAATGCATTTTTGTTTCTAAGCACAGATTATGAATACTGGATTTGTTTATTCACCTCTGTTGGATCTAAGTGTAGTTACAGTAGGTACTTTGAGTAATGGAAAAGTAGATTATGCAGCTAAGGAGTTGTATCTTGTTGATGTGGATATTCCTTTGCTTTCATCTCCTTTGGAGATCAAATGTGATCTTAGATTAGAGATTGCATAGCCAGAGGGAGTTGAAACATACCCAGAAGAGAGCTTATTCCTCCTTCTCTGATTTGACTGATTTTTAGGAATTTGCCTGCCTAGGCAAGGTGAGTCTTTTTAAAATCTGTTGAGTCATTTTGCCTTTAGGAGGAATTAGTATCTTCAGAAGTGGAAAGAATGCAGCATGACTATGAGATATGGATAGGAAATAGCAGTTGATCAGAACCTTTGGGATTATTTTTTTTATTATGCTAATAGCAGAAGCATGATGCTACAAGGAATCTTTGACTTGGGTATTCAAACTCCTTATTTAAGAATGCTTAGAGACATGTTGATTTGAAAGGCTTCCTTACAGCTCTTGTGGATATGTTTGCAGGACTCTAGTATATGTGATTTTTTTATTTTTTTTTTGGTAATTAACTGAATTTACAGGTTTTTTTCAGGAGGTGGCTATAATAAGAGCTATATTGCCTGGCTATGCCAAAAAAATCCTTGTTTTTAATGGTCAAAATCTTATGAGATCACCAAGTTTCTTAAGCTTTTGGCATATCCCATTCATTATAATGCAAGATTTGGGGTGAGAATACAGGAATTTCAAACAATATGGGTGAAATTTAGTTAGATTTGGTAACTTTGTGAGAGTTTAATCAGCCACAATACCCTTGAGGATCACCAATGGGCCCTGGGACAAATTGGGAACTACTGCCATATTTTGAGTTCACTTTTGCAAGTCGTCATACTGCATATACTGTATGCATATATATGTTTGCAATTATACTATTGTTATACTGTAAGATATTGCTAGTGTTAATTGCACTAATTGCAAATCTCTTTTCTTTTCACGTTTCCCCCTATAACCAGAGGTCAGATGAATCAAAATGGAACTCATACACATTTCTGCAAATGTGTATCTCCTCTTTTTTTTCTTTGTCTACAGGCTGCTATTAAAAACCTGCGTTATTTGTCCCTACCTTTTGGTAATTCTCAACCAATTAGAGGAGCAACTAGGACTGATGATGATGATCCAACAGGTAAGGCTTTGTAATTAAAACAATAAAAGAAAATGGGAAATTACTGCCAATTCTTACTAATTCTGCTATTATCCATGAGGTTACCAATAGATGCATCCTTGGAAAAGTTTTGTTTTTAATCATGACTTTGCAAGAGAGCGTCCATCAGAATTTGAAATGCTTATCCAATCTGGTGCCCTCCAGATGTGTACTCTTTCAATTCTGGAAATGTTAGTTGCAGCACATCTGGAAAACTCTGGTTGAGAAAAGCTAGTTTAGAGGAATGCCCACTTTTTGCATTGTTATTATTTAAGATGATCATTGTCTCATTAACAGAGGCAACTGATCTTTTTCTTCATCTTTTACAGCCAAATTAGACTGGGACAACATTGTGCCATTTTAACACCCATCCCTAATAGGGCTGCACACACTTTAAAAATGATTCCAACCAGTTGCTATGGAATGTGCGTAAGTGCAATCACAGCAGCTCTTTAAGAAAGCAGACTGAAAACAGACACAGCTGCTTTTAAGGAGTCACATTAAAGGTACAGCTGCTCTAATCCCTTGATTCCTTAAAGCAGCCATGTCACTTTACAGGCTCATGTGGTAGCCTTTAAAGGTCTTGGGTGCTTTAAAAAAGCAGTGCTGCTTGCATCCCCATGAATTCCAAATTATTTAGCACAAGGCTACCATGTCTGAGCTGCAGGATCCCAGGCAACAATTAGATGGTAACAAAGTTGGATTTTTGGACTCTTTCCTGCTATCAAATGGTTCTCTAGATTCTACCAGCCAAGTCGTGGTTGCCCACCTAATCTTTAGCTGCTAAGCAGGCATAAATAGGCAGCTGATGTTTTCTCAAGGAAGTAGCTATAAAGATAGGGATTGCTTGACTTCCACCTGTTTTGCACTTGCTAAAGGCACAGGGAGGCTATCCATAAAAATCCAGAAAAAGGATTTTTTTTCCATAAAAAAAAGCAACCCAAGCCTCATATGAAAGAAAGATGTGGCAATTGTGCTTGCTTCCTTGTCAGAAAACACATACAATGGAAAAAAGTATTTACAGAGAAGTAATTTTTCATTTCTCCAGAGCAGGACCCTCATTTATTGGCAAATATGTGCTAAGGTATGTAAAATACATACATACATACATATGTGTGTGTGTGTGCACGTGAACATGCATACATATGTAATATTTTTTGCCAGATTTGCTTTTGGATAGGAATTCTGGGAAAAACAGTCCCAGCCACCTGGACAGGATCAGATTAGAGATGACTGCACTGAATCATTTAATGTGCCAAATGATATGTACATTTCTTTAAAAGAAGCTGGCTTGATCATATAATGGAAACGAAAGATTTATTCCAACCAACAGTTTTTTTCAGAACCCTAAAGCTAAACTTCTTTGAACCTAATAATTAAAAGTGTCCTAAAACCCACCCTGCTTTTCACTGGCAACCAAAACCATTCACTAATTACAGACCTGCTCATCTTGCAGGTTTTATCTTGCATGGTCCAGCAGTTGGCTAAAGGCCCCAAAATAGTAATAATACAAATAAAATAGGTGAACCCTTGCTTGAATCATTGGACTCAGTACAGCCAAAATTCTGGACAACCAGATTTAGTGAAAAAGAAAATTTATTTATTTAAATAATTTATATGACCACCCATCTCACATCAGAGACTCTGGGTGGCATACAAGGATTAAAACAACAGCCAGAAGCAATGGCTCATGATGCCCAAGGTAAACAATATATCACAATCATAAAAACCACATCAGAGAAGAGCTTGCATAACCTCCTGGCCCAAATGTCTGGCGAAACGTAAAGCATGTTAAAATAAGGAATACTGTAATGCTAGAGTTGACGCTGGAAATGCATAGAGTAGAGATAGGCTGAATTTTATCAGAAATATCTTTGATAGTTTTCTCCAATGTTGCTGCTCATCTTGAACTTGAAGTTAAAGAAACTTAGCCCAGCCCAATTTCACATCAAATATTACTATTTTAACAAATATCCAAGAGGAACCATAGTTTCTTCATTACACTTGTTTTGTCCATTCATTAATAAAGATTTCTTTGTGCTGAAAAAGAATCTTGGAAAATATGGACAGGAGATAGAAATGTAAAACCAAAGAAGAAGAAATACCTCCAGAAAACAGAGGGCAAAGGCAGAGATAGATTTGAATGGGATAATTTATATGCATAAAGGAAAAGGTATAATAATTATAATTTGAACTGAAGTATAGTGAGTTTCACTATGATAAGCAAGAGTATGACTAGATAACCTATTTTTTTATTCGGCCTGCTGTCCAACTGTTGGTTCCAGTGGTTGAAGTGCTTTTTTAGAGCTTCTGTTTTCCTTTCTTGTAATACCTCAGACAGTCACTCATGTCCTTGTCATCTCACAGCTTGACTACTGCAATGTGGTCTACATGGAGCTACCCTTGAAGACCACCTGGAAGCTTCAGCTGGTCCAGAATGCAGTGGCATGGGCAATGATGGGCATGCCTCGGTATGCCCATGTAAAACTTCTGCTTTGTAAGATGCATTGGTTGCCAGTGTGCTTCCGGGTGTGATTCAAGGTGCTGGTCACTACCTATAAAGCCCTACATGACATACGGCCTGGTTTTTTGAGGGACCACTTATCTCCCATAGTATCTGTCCAGCAGATTTGATCTGGCAGGGTTGGTGCATTCTGGGTTCCTTTGATTAAGCAATGCCATCTATTGGGATTTTGGAAGTGCGCCTTTTCTTTAGCAGCACCTGACTTCTGGAATGAGGTTCCCCTCAAGATTCAAATGGCCCCAACCCTACCGGTATTTCAAAGGGCCCTGAAGATGTGGCTCTTCGCCCAGGCCTTTGGCGAGGATGATTGATGCCTCTTTCCTTCTTTTTCTTTGTTCCTATCTGAATTTTTTTTCTCTACCATCTTTGTTTCTTTTCTTTTGTTGTGTTTTTGTATTTTTTGCATTGTTGCTTTCTTTTTAAACAATTTGTAAACTTCCCAGAGTCACTGTGAGTAGGGCGGCATATAAATTTATTTATTTTTATCATCCTCCTCCTCCTCCTCCTCTAAATCAGACCTGGATTGGATAGCCATTCAAATGTGGCAAGGCCAACAACTCAAGGCCCCCTTTTAATACAAGTTTTAATGAACACACACGAGAAAAATGTTAAAAGTATAACCTTTTAACTCTGTTTATATTATACTAGATTAAACTCAGTGTGGGTTTTGCGTGGCTCTGTCCACAATTTTTAGACCTCCCTTATTTTGGGGTGTTGTCCATCTACCCAGAATAAATTGTGCATCCCTAAAATAGAAGTTCTGATGTTCAGCAGAAGATTGATAGCCCTTGAAAACCAATAACTGTCCTCTGTAAATAGGACATGTGATCACCATATAATTGACTTCAACTTCTCCTTCAATAATAGCTATTGCTTTCTGAATTCAGGGTATGGTAGCAGTGACTCTGAGTCTGTCTTCATGATGCATAATTCAGAGACTGGACCAAGGTCACCTCTGAGGAAACACCAGCAGCAGGAGGAATTCCTCCCAATGGAGCAGATATATTCACGAACTAAACCAGCCAGTTTTACCAGGCAGAAAAGAACAAATCAACAGGATAAACGAGCCAGAATACAAAAACCACTCTTAGCCCCAAAGTCTCAACTTAATGCAGTGCTTGAAACTGATACTCAGGAACTTGAGTCAGAAGATGAGGTCAACAGGGCCCCATGCCCTACGGCACCTGTTGTTGTATGGACAGCAGAAACCAAAGGCAAAGACCATGCTTATCAGTCCAAAAGATACTTCACCCAAAGAAAAAAGTGAATCCCCGTCTTTGCTGCACACCATGATGACAATTTGCATTTCAAACATTTCAGAAATTGTTGGCAATTTCTAACTGGAAAATTTCTGTACTCTAAGATGTTCTAGGCAAAATAAAAGTTTTAAATCTGGATTGCCTGTAATGCGCCCCTTGCTATCTTAAATAGGTTGTTTTCAGTAAAAACAACTAACTATAATATTATGTTCAAATATATATTCCAAGTTCCAGAACATATTCTTCTCTTTAAAAAGAGGCTTTTTCCTTCTTCTACCTTATCTCAGATGCATAGATATAATCCTTTTTAAATCTTAGGAAAAGTGTTTTTTGAGCTTATGGTATTATTGTGGATTGGTGGGTGATACTGGTAATATTATATCAGTTACACATCCTCTGCACTCTTTCTGACCACTATACTTAGTACTTTGGAAAGCCCTAGTGAAAGAAAGTCATGAAGTCTTTGCTTTATCACAGAATACACATATATACATACACACACTTCTTGTAAATAAAGTAAGTGCAAGAGACCCACTGAATTCATTAGAAGTTCACATTTTTTCCTTTGAGGGGTAGGGGAAATAAACGTATGGTAGTCCCTGGATTAAGAACACCCGGTTTAAGGATGACCCATAGTTAAGAATGAAGCCTATTGTAGCAAAATTCAAGTTAAATACACAATGATTTGAGTTAAATACACAATGGTTCAAGTTAATTACACAGTATTACTTATACAGTATTATACAATAATACTGTTCCAGCTTACATACACATTCACCTTAACGACAGGACCTTGGAAACAGAACTCATTCTTAACTGGGGATTACCTGTAATGTCTTTGTGATCAGATTGACTGAGAGTTTACTCCTAAATGCAGATTTGTATTTTTATTGGTATAGCCTAAAATCTCATATCTGTATTATAAATGTCTATGCTGATCATGAAAATAACAGGTGTAAGCTATTCAATAAAATCTTGCATTTATTTCACACTTGTACAAATGTGCAATGCAGTTGGCTTGACTTTGCCAGAATAAAGTGCTTTGAGACACAGACACTGCCCAATATTCTTTAAGGAGATGCTTTTGCACTGACTCAAATCTTCATTCAGCAGTTCCAGTAGCTGGAAGAGGCTTCAGTACATGTATTGTATATGTTCAAAAGCCTATTTTGATACTCCCAGTAGCTGAATAGGAGTATCAAGCTCAACTAACTGGTTGAGAGCTATTTTTCATTGCTTCATGAAAAACTCTGATAGGGTACTTCACATGAACTTTTATGAAATAATCAGACTTTCAAAGCTTTGCAAAACTTCTGTTAATGTTAACAGAAGTAGCTCTATGTCCTTGATCTGTGAAATTGCATATAATTTTATAGCACTTGCTTAAGGGTATTATTTAATTTGTGTTGCATTATACTGAACTGTAACTGCATTGGTTCACAAAGTTGTTGAGTAGTAGTATTGGTTGACTTGCACCAGTTATACTGCATAAGTTAAACCACTGTTTCAGTCCACAGTGCGATAAGCTTGAATTCTATTGGTTCTTCCCCAAGCAAGAGTTGCTCAAGATCTCCAGTGTCAATCATGTGTATGGCTCCAGATAATTATAACAAATGTATTAAATTAAAGTCTGTGTGGGAGTATGAGGACTGACGATTTTCTCAGGTGCTGTGACATGACTCAATCTACCAACTCACTTTGCCTAATAAGAATATTACCAATAATTCTGTCATACGAGGTTTCTCTAAATCTTGTAGTGATTCTGTGTCCTCAGAGCTATTGCTGCATGAAATCAGTTGGAACATTTTTTTTTCTTTGCCTCCCAAATGCTACTTGACATCACAGATTTATTCATTTGCTGGTGAGTAAGTTTCTTTCTGCACCAGGCTACATAGAACATTCATTCATTCATTCATTCATTCATTCATTCATTCATTCATTCATTCATTCTATTTACATGATCACCCATCTCAAATTGATGATTTTGGGTGGCTCACTATGTTAAAAACTATAAAAAACAGGAAAAAACACACATAAAACTACTGGAATATACAATCAATACTTCAAATGGGCAGTGGCAAATTATAGTGAATGGAAACAAAATAATTTCCAAGGCTGCATTTTATTACTATGGCTTCATAGTGACTTTAATGTCATGCAATCAGACATAGACACACATAGACTAAAACACAAGTCACTTTTCCTAGCCATGTCTGAATTATGATATATTTTCTTACAATTTTCTGCATTTAGCTTAATGGCTTATACTATATTATTCAGTGCTCCCTGTTCAAAACAAAAAGAGCTTTTCAAAAATACACATACGCTAAAGAACTGATCTGCTTATCACTAGGCATCAAGATATCAAAACATAATTTCCTCAGTCACAGTCTTCAGAGCTAAGACATGCTATTGGCATGTTATGTGTCAGAAACATTGTACTTTCCAGTGACAATAGATGGTATTTGAAAGGCACTAATAATAGTTATCTCTGAAAGAATATTTTTTTCTTTAAAAAAAAGTCTTTAATCCTTTTATTGTATACTGATTATAACATAAGTATTATCTGAAATGGTTCTTGGAATTTAGCTTGTGGGCTGACATGCTGCAATGCAAAAAAAAAATTAGACCAGTGTTTTTCAAACTTGGCAACTTTAAGACGTGTGGACTTCAACTCCCATGTTGGCTGGGGAATTCTGGGAGTTGAAGTCCACTTATCTTAAAGTTGCCAGGTTTGAAAAGCACTGAAGTAGACCTATGCAAATTATTTGACAAGGCATTTTGCTCATGAGTGAAACATCCTCTGGATCTGCTTTTGGAAGGTGTGAGCTATAGAAGAGCTTCTCAAGGTCTTCCAGACACTCTCAGAAGTCATTTCTGTTTGAAGTACCCAGCAGGTGAAAGACCTACGAAATAATTATATATTGTTTTAATATATACAAGTGGCGGCAGCTAACCAACCAGCAGTTCCAGCATCTAGTGAAGGATTATGTACATGAAATAACTGCATGGAAACTTTCATATCACTTTATTAATCAGCAGAGGCACTCACTCTGAATAGTCCTTAATCAAGCAAAATCAAACAATGGGATTTTTGCATGTGTTAATTCACTGTATCAAATTGGTTCAACTCTAGAATACTGAATGCTACTTTGCCAATTGAGCCAACTAAAATGAAGACAAAAGTATTTATGAGAAATAAATACCTTGACGCATGCATAACTTACCAGTTAAGACAATGAAATAATAATAATAAGAAAGATTATGGCATAAACTGGCTGTGGTGGTCACAGGGTGCCATACCAAAAAACCTTGCATGGCACTTAGAAAATCTGTGCATTGACAAAATTTCCATCTGTCAATTACAAAAGGCCACACTGCTGGGATCCGCACATATTCTATGCCAACCCATTACGACATTCTAGGTTCTTGGGAAGAACCTGATGCAGATGAAGGCCAACACCAGCTAAAGAACTGGCAGCTGTGATTTCATAATAATAATAATTTTACCATTGCACGTATGCGGAGGAGAAGAAAGCACTTATATTGATTCAAAAAGGAAAACAAATGGGTGAATTTCCAATATAAACTGAACCTCAGCTGAGAAAACACTGTGCACTGTCTGCTATTATCTTGAGTGCACTGTAATTACCCCTACAGATTTGCAAAAATCTGGTAGCTACTGGGATTAAGCAGCTGTGTGCCAGAATAGATAGGGTGGGGTTATTTTCTAATGAGTTATAAAGAACAAAGAAGTTGTAGCTAGCTACTGCTAGGATTTGCTGATCCCTATAATGCATTTTCAAGTTTAAAAAAAAGAAAAGAAAACTTTCTTTTACAGTTAGAAAACCTGCTTCGCTAATCATTGCTCAGCTCGGACTCCTGTGCTCAGGAACGCTCAGATGCACGCACAGAGCACTTTTGCTTCCAACAGAAGGTAGATTTACAAGGTGTTAAAATTCCCAGTTATTTAATAACCCTAAGAAAATAATAAGAGGTTCTTTTACTTTAGATAAAAGAAATCAGGCTCTTGAAATGTTAAAGGGAAAGAAGCAGGGGGTTGCAAAAACCTGGGAGCAAATCTCTGGTAGTTAAAAGACCATGGGTTGACCATGTGCTCAGAGGGATCCAGTTCCTTAATTTTAAGTTCACTTTCATGTCATTCACTTCACTATTATTCTCCCATATCCTCGTGATGCTCCGTGATTTTCTCACTCAAAATGAAGTGAGTGTGTGTGTGTGTGGTGGGGGGACTTCAATCTCTGCTCTGTAAAGTAGTTAGAATATGAATTCTATCTGTTCGGAAACAGAAGTCAACTCACATTTTGTTGGTGCAAATAATAAAGAATTACTTACTAGCATTATTTACTCTTATTGTTATTTATTGATATTACTTACTCTCATTATTATTGCTATATCATATTTAGATCTATTTCCCAGAGACAAGCCACAGTTTTAAAGTGATCTTTGAGTCACCTTCCACCCAGGTTTTGGCCTGGGTAGAAGATTATAGCATAATTCACGTTATATAATTCATGTTATATATGAATTATGTTACAGCATAATTCATGTTTATGTTCTGTCAAGCCAGACCAGGTGTTCTGCAAAGGTATATTTGTTTTGGCTGGGCATGGAATTAAACTTGTTAAGTCTGTGGACATCTGGTATCAAAAAAAATCTTTCTTGTGGCTTAGGGCACATTGATAGCAGTGTAGCATCAGCACGTGCATGAGTCAATCTAGCCCTGCAGTGTCTTTTCAGTCTTCCTGAGGTTTTGCATCAAATTCACAAAGCGTGTCATCCTCAGCGATCAACTAATAAGTACTTCTTTAACAGGCAATGTGTGCTAATCAGTGGATATTTTTAGAAGCCTGACAGATTAACATTTTTATTTTATTTAATTTTTCAGTGTTTGTGTGCTGTCCTGATCAGAGCCTTTGGGGGCTCCCAGCAAGAAAATGTACCATAAAACCTAAACTCTATAAATATATAGTATATATTATCCATAGGTAAGTTTTAATCCATATTAGCAATGTCGCCAAATTAAAATCCAAGAACCAAGCTCAGAGAACCCCAAGGACTCCATAAATTAAAATATGTATGTAGCCTCACTAATCACTACCAACCTAATCTCTAGAGGTCCAGCAGCCCAACAGAAAAGGAGGGTCTTCACCAGTTTCCTAAATGAAAGGAAACAAGGGGTTGTCCAAACTTCAGGGGAAGAAAGTTCTGCTGGCCTGTGCAGCAGTAGAAAAAGTTTGCCTCCATCTTCCCATCCCCCAAACAATCAGAACCAGAACTTCCTAGATAGAACATCCAGGGTGGGAAGATTCTATTTGGAGAAGACTGTCCTGATGAAAATAATGAGACAAGACAGGAAGAGCTTTATAAGTAATAAGCAGCCCTGTGAATTGTGCTGGAATCCTATTGATAGTCAACGTAGTTCCCAGAGAATGGCTGGAACTTTGCTAAAGTGGACCCAACCTGTTCTCAAGCAGATTGCTGCATTTTGGACCAACTGTAGTTTCCAGGTAGTCTTCAGAGGCAGCGCCAATACAGCTCATTACAACAATCTGGTGATGAAGGCATAATTGCTGCCAGAGAGATACCATTGGGCAGTGGAGGAAAATACTGCAGCAGCCATCCCCTTTGGTCCCTG